AATTCATCTAGAAAAATAGGAGACTCAGAATAGCTGAAGCAATCCTTAGCAAGAAGAGTGAAACTGGTGGCATTACTATACCAGACCTTAAACTATACTACAGAGCAATAGAAATAAAAGCATGGTATTGGCACCAAAATAGAGTTTTAGACCAATGGTACAGAATAGAGGACACAGAGACTAACTCACATAATTACAGTTAGCTTATATTGGACAAAGGTGCCAAGAACATATATTGGAGAAAGGATAGCCTTTTCAACAAATGGTGCTGAGAAAACTGGAAATCCATATGCAACAAAATGAAACTAAACCCCTATCTATCACCATGCACAAAACTCAACTCAAAGAGGATCAAGAACCTAGGAATTAAACCAGAGACACTGCATCTAATAGAAGAAAAATTAGGCCCAAATAAATATCCATCATGTTGGATTAGGCCCCAACTTCCTAAATAAGACTCCTATAGCACATGAATTAATATTAAGAATAAATAAATGGGATGGATTCAAACTAAAAATCTTCTTCCCAGCCAAAAAAAAAAAATCAGTGAGGTGAATCAAGAACCTACTAATTGGTAATAAAAGTTTTACCACATGCACGTCAGATACAGCACTAATCTCTAGGATGTATAAAAAACTTAAAAATCTTAACACCAAAAATAACAAATATTCCAATCAATAAATGGGCCAAGGAACTCAGCACACACTTCTAGAATGAGATATACAATCAATCAACAAATATATGAAAAAAGTGTTCATCATTTCTAGCAATTAAAGAAATGCAAATGAAAACTTCTCTAAGAATTCATCTCACTCCAGGCAGTATGGTAGCTATTGAGAATACTAACAATAAGTGTTGGCGAGGATGTGGGGAAAAAGGCACTCTCATACATTGCTGATGGGACTGCAAATTGATGCAGCCAATAAGGAAAGCAGTATGGAGAATCCTTTGGAAAACAGGGAATGGAACCACCATTTGACCCAGCTATTCCACTCCTTGATCTATACCCAAAAGACTTAAAAACAGCATACTACAGGGACACAACCACATCAATGTTTATAGCAGCACAATTCACAATAGCTAAACTGTGGAACCAACCTAGATATCCTTCAATAGTTGAATGGATAAAGAAAATGTGGTATATATACACAATGGAATATTATTCAGTATTAAAAGAGAATAAAATCATGGCATTTGAGGGCAAATGGATGGAGCTGAAGAATATAATGCTAAGTGAAATTAGCTAGTCCCAAAAAACCAAATGCAGAATGATTTTTTCTGATTTAAGGATGCTGATTCATAATATGCTGTGGAGGAGTTAAATAAACAATAGATAGGGCAAAATGGAAAAGAGTAGGGAGGGAAAGGCAGGTGCCAAAGCAGTAGTAATACAGTGGAATGTGATGGTCATCATTACCCTAGGTACATATGACAACACTAATGATGTGACTCTACTTTGTGTACAAACAGAGATATGAAAAATTGTGCTCTATATGTGTAATATGAATAGTAATGCATTCTGTTGTCATATATAACAAATTAAAATTATTTAAAAATGTAAATTAAAAGAATAAAATGGGAAAAAGCAAAAAAAAATATTTTCATACAGTTCTGGCAAATCACATACAAAAACATACTAAAAAGATCATGCACCAAGATCAAGTGTAGTTCATCCCAGGGATGCAAGGTGGGTTCAACATATGAAAACCAACAAACATTATTCATCACATCTAGACAAATGTCATATGATTATGATCTCAATGGATGCATAAAAATCATTTCACAAAATTCAGCACCCACTCAGTTCAAAACACTAGTAAAACTAGGCATAGTACAGCCATACCTCAACATTGTAAAAACTATATATGCTAAACCCAAGGCCAATATAATTCTTAAATGGAGAAAAATTGAAAGCATTCCCTCTAAAAACGGGAACAAGATAAGGATGCATTGTTTCACAACTTCTATTCAACATTGTCCTTGAAACTTTAGCCAAAGAAATTAAAAGGGTACACATAAGAAGAGAAAAACTCAAACTATTTCTATTTGCCAATGACCCAATTCCATAAGTCCCAAAGAACTCTATCATAAAAATTCTTGAGCTCATAAATGAATTCAGCAAAATACCAGGATATCAAATTATCATACAAAAATCAATTGTGTTCCTATACATCAATGATGAATCAACTGAAAGAGAAATTAGGGAAAATACCCCATCGACAATAGTTTCAAAAAAATACTTATTTGGGTATCAATCTAACAAAGTAGGTGAGAGATCTCTAACATGAAAACTACAGAACACTAAATAAAGAAATTGAATTGATTTGGCTATTCTAGGATGCTTATTTTTTCCAAATGAATTTCATGATTGCATTTTCTATTTCTATAAGGAATGGCATTGGGATTTTAATTGGAATCACATTGGATCTGTATGGTGCTTTGGGTAGTATGGCCATTTTGACAATATTAATTTTGCCTATCCAAGAGCTTGGGAGAATTTTTCATTTTATAATGTCTTCTTCAATTTATTTCTTTAGTGTTCTGTAGTTTTCATTGTAGAGGTTTTCACCTCTTTTTAAAAATGGATTCTTAAGTATTTTATTGTGGTTTCCAGTTATTGTGAATGGGGTAGTTTTCCTAATTTATCTTTCAGAGGATTCATCACTGTTTAGAAATGCATTTGATTTATGGGTATTTACTTTATATCCTGCTACTTTGGTGAATTCATTTATCAATTCTAGATTTTTTCTGGTGGACATTTTTGAATGCTCTAAATATAGAAGTATGTTGTCAGCAAATAATGATAGTTTGAGTTCTTCCTTTCATATTCATATCCCTTTAATTTCTTTCATCTGTCTAATTGCTCTTGCTAGAGTTATAAGGAGTATGTTGAATAGAAGTGGTGAGAGAGGGCATCTCTGTCTTGTTCCAGTTTTTAGAGGGAATGCTTCCAATTTTTCTCCATTTATAATGATGTTGGCCTTAAGTAAAAAGAGTGAAGCAGGAAGCATCACAATACCAAACCTAAATCTACACTACAAAGCTATAGTAACAAAAAAGGCATGTTATTGGCACCAAAATAGACATGTAGACCAATGGTATAGAATAGCAGTCAAAGAGACAAACCTACATAAAAACAGTTATCTCTTAATAAACAAAGGAGCCAAAACATACATTGGAGAAAAGACAGCCTCTTCCTGAAATGGTACTGGAAGAACTGGAAATTCATATACAGCAAAATGAAACTAAACCCCAATCTCTCACCCCTCAGAAAACTTAACTCAAAGTGGACCAAGGACCTAGAAATTAAACTGGAGACCCTTCTCCAAATAAAGCAAAAAGTAGGCCCAAATCTTCATCATGTCGGAATAGGAATTGTCTTCTTTAACAAGACTCCCAAAGTGCAAGTAGTAAAATCAAGAATTAACAAATGGGATGGAATCAAACTAAAAAGCTTCTTCACAGCAAAGGAAACAATCAAGAACATTAATACAGAACCTACAGAATGGGAGAAAATCTTTGCCACCTGCGCCTAAGATACAGCATTAATCTCCAGGATATATAAACAACTCAAAAAATTAACACCAAAAAAATAAATAAATAAATAAACCACTCAATAACTGGGCAAAGGAAATGAACAGGCACTTAAGAGAAGAAGACATACAATCTGCCAACAAATACATGAAAAAATGTTCAACGTCTATAGCAGTTAGAGAAATGAAAATTAACACTACACTGAGATTTCATCTCACTCTGTCAGAATGGCAATTATCAAGAATTCAAGTAACAATAAATGCTGGGAAGGATGTGCAGAAAAACATATACTCATACATTGATGGTGGGTCTGCAAATTGTGGCAACCACTCTAGAAAGCAGTATGGAGATTCCTTAAAAACTTAAAATGGAACCACCATTTGGCCCACTCCTTGGTCTATATCCAAAGGACTTAAAATCAGCATATTACAGTGATGTGGCCTTATTAATGTTTATAACAGTTCAATTCACAATAGCTAAGTTATGGAATAAACCTTAGTGCCCTGCAATAGATGAATGGATAAGGAAAATATGGTATATATACACAATGGAATATTACTTGGCCATTAAAAAAGAAATTATGGAATTTGCCAGTAAATGTACAGAACTAGAGACTATCATGCTAAGAGAAATAAGCCAATCTCCAAGGTCTTATGTCTTCTCTGATATGTGGACGCTAAATCACAATAAGGGGGCTAAGGAAGACTAGAAGTACTTTGGATTAGACAAAGAGGAATGAAGGGAAGGGAAGGAGAAAAGGAATAGGAATGATAGAATGAATCAAACATTACTTTTATGTACATATATGAATACACAATCAGTGTAATTCCACATCATATACAATCGGAAAAAATGGGAAGTTATACAAAATATATATATATATATATATATATATATATATATAGAGAGAGAGAGAGAGAGAGAGAGAGAGAGAGAGAGAGAGAGAATATGTCAAAATACATTCTATTGTAATGTATAACTAATAAGAATAAATTAAAAAAACAAAATATTAAAAAGGGCAGGGAATGTGGCTCAATGGTAAAACAGCCCTGAGTTCAATCTCTCATGCCAAAAAAAATAAACAATAAATAAATAGATAGATAAATATGGTAGGTAACAGGTAGTGTTTTTAGATGAGGAAATTGAAAATCTCACACAATTATAACTATTAATGGGTTATTTACTTGGTACGAAGAGCCTAAGGTCCTGCTATCTGGTAATATTTATTTCATTGCTGAAACTGAGGTCTTCCAGAGCTATGTCAATACAAATTTGTGACTATGATACTTCAGTCTTTCCACTGTGCATGTAAACACCTGCCTACTAGCTGTTTTTTTTTAACTAAAATTAATATTATTTTTCTCTCACCAGAATTATAGTTGTAGAACAGAGGAATGAAACTGTCCAATAAGAGAGAGCTACAACAGAAGAACTACAAAAAGATACAATTTTAAATAAAAATATACCTCTTTTTGAGATTTATCAGAGTCACGTCGAGAAAGACTCAGTTGCAAGCTCTTGTGTCGCTGTATGAGAATTTCCTTTACTTGTTCTGCTGCTCCCATTTCTCCTGGAAGGGTGTACCTGTTATATGCTGGAGCCTGGTCAAAATTCATAACAGAGATTTCAGAATTAAAGTGCCAACAATATGAAAAAATTAAACAATTAATTTCTACTTATACATAAATGAAATTGACATCAACGTCTAATGTATGAGATCTATTCGAGTTCTTAAAAGATAAAAGAAGGTATTGATTTCTTTTATTTTTTTATATATTTCTACTGCGCTAAGACATAAGGCATATTTCTCCAGCTAAAATCACTAAAATATCTCTGGTTTAAAAAGTTCATAAATATGTAACTGACAAAATCCCTCCATATTAAATATACTCATTTTATCATTACATCGTACATTTAGAGATTTTGTGTGGTATTTTTGAAACTCTGTATACAAGAAAATTTTGATGAATGGATTAGATTAAGGTTAAAAATTAATGATTATTTTATTATCTTTTCATAAAGAAAAAAATCAAAATGTGAACAACAGACTAATTAAAAATATTACTTCTAGATGGAAAGAAGAAATAGGGTGGAAGGAAAAAGAGATGAGAGCTACAAGTTTCTAAATTATCTGATATTTTACTTCAACTGCAAAACCAAATCACTATTTTATATAATAAAAGAAAATATAAAGGAAAAAAAAGACTTGAAAACAAACTGAGTTTAAGCAAAGATGAATTAACAGAGATTAATCACATCTAACCTCTCCTCTGAAACAACTAAAACATGGAAAAATATAGGAAACAATGGTTTGTAATACAATTAATAAAGAAATTAGGAAAGTGAAAATAGAAAATTGGAAACAGAGGAGGTAAGCCCTACAATTACTCCATCTTTTTGCCTTGGGAATTTTCCCATGCTCTGATGAAGGAAATGAAAGCCCAGCACTAAAATGGGTTATTTTACAATGATGATTAGGTCCATTCATTAAGAAAACATAAGAATATTTAATATGTTTTATGTGTAAAAAAAAAAGCTTTAAAATATGTAAAGCAAACCCTGAGAGAACCATAAGTAATAATAAACAAATCTAAACAAATTCAGATTTTATAATGCTCTCCCTCCTCCTCCTCTTCCTCCTCCTCCTCCTCCTCCTCCTCCTTGTTTCTCTCTCTCTCTCTCTCTCTCTCTCTCTCACTCTCTCTCTCTATCT